ATAAGAGATGATTAAATGTTTTGGGTTGAACTATATGAAAAGTAGCTCAAAACTTGATAAAATATCAGCAATTTCATATGGTTTGACAGAATATAAAGGGATACGGGTCTTTAAATAAGATTGTTTCTAGAATACTTAAGTCCTTTTTAAAAATAGATTGCTTAACTACTTTACCAAAAACTTAGGGAGTGGTATTTAAAGCTGAAGTGTTAGAAGCCACTGCCAACAACAGTAATAGCTATCACTCAGTGAGTGTATTCCTGATAAGGTTTGTTCCCTCATGAGAATCACTACCATGATGATAAAATGTGGGGTATTTCTTCGGAGATCAGACGAGATCGGGCGTGTTCAGGGTGGTATGCCGTAGACTGGGGTATTTCTTATATGTCAAGATTTTTTTAAAAAGGGGAGCAAAAACCCACTTCTTTGTATTATTAAATGTCATTCAATTACTTATAAAAATAAAGCTAGGTTGATAATAATATAACTAAAATATTAAGTAGCTTGATATTATAATTTGTCTCACATCTTTCCCTTGCTTAATTCCTCCTAACTTCCCATCATCTTAGAATCAAATTCTTACAATTATATGAGGCCCTTTTTGATGTAGCCTGTCTAGTCTCATCGTACTTTATGATCTAGCAACATCAAATTTTATATATCTAACACAACAAGCTATTTCAGGCCCTCAGGCCTTTACATTAGCTAGTTCCTGCCTGCCCACCTAGCAAACAACTATTCTTTTCAAAACCCAACCTGAGATTAACTCCTGTGGAATCGTTTCATCACTGCACCCTACAAGTAAGATTCCTAACAACTTATATCTTTTTTAGAAGCTATGAACCTTCTCTCCAGAAAAAAACTGTGTAAACATACATTCTGCATAAATTACAAGCAATTCAAATACTTAAAAGTTTCTGGTACCAAGGTTGGATCACTTCTGTTCTTTTGTACTGTTGTCTACACATACTTTATAATCTGCATGTTAAGCATTAGAATATAATTGATTTTCTTGAGAGGAGGAGGCATTGTGTTGTCTTATTTATCTCTGACCTCTAGTGCAGACAGTAAACATGTTCATCGTGCATGCTAGCTGCTTGCAGTACTCTCCAGAAAAGCATTCTGATACTGCATCTACTCATGTGGGGAAAAAAATCTGAAAAAACGTGCGGTCATCCATTAGTGGTACCTAAGATAGGTATAAGAGGGGACTACCATTTGCCCCAAATCTGCCATCTCTACTNACAATTTAAAAGAAAATCACAGAGTTACTAACTCTTTTTTTCAGCTAAATTTCTGGTAATACTACTGTTCAATGTTCACCTTTTAATATTTTTTGGCCAACACAAATGAAGTTTTACAATATCAATGCTTATTTAAGTTATATAGCAAAACAATCTACATAAAAAAGATCTTTACAAGATTCTTAGGATAGTTACACAATTCAACTTCTCTCTCTTGAGGTGAGGAGATGGGGATTGATAAAAAAGCCAGTTTTCTATGAGAAGTCTCAAAGAATTTTATACAGCTTATAATAAATTTTTATCAGGGAAAACATATCCCTGGTTTATACTTTTAAAATCTCTACACTCACACTATAAATAAGTCCTCCTTCATATTGCAAAGTTCATTTTGATTAAAACTATAAAGGCAGAGAGAAAGTGACTCTTCATGACAGAGACTGAAATTAATGGGATTATAAATACTCTATTAGGTCTAGATAATTTAGATTATTTTCTAGCTGATTTCCGAAATGTGATTATTGTTCTTATGAGCTGAAAGACTTCCACTTCATAGAAATACTGTTTTTCTAACCACAAAGTAAATTAGTTTATGAAATCTTTTCTGGAGGTCTTTAAGAATAAACACATTTTCATATTTATTAGAAGGTTTTACTGTAGCCTTACCAGATATTTAGGGGGACAGAATAAATATCTTTACAGTCTTTTCAAAATCTATATTTAAATTATCTTTACCAAAATCTGCAGTAACAATTTTAAGAGTGGATTTCTATAATCTACATGCCTCAGATAACACAGGTTTACGCTTTAAAATAGAAAGCTAAAATTTTAGAAATATTTTAAGTAGACATCATTTATTTTAGACATATTACATAAAGTAGCCATACATAATGCTAAAATAGACATTATCTAAAAATGTTTCCAAAATTATTAAAATAATCCTTTTACTTAAATGTTGTTCTGTGAAAAATTAGTTTCTCATAAATTATTCTAAATTACTGTGACAACAGATAAAACTTTGTATATCTACCAATTTGCTGGTCTATTTTTAAGCAGTCTAAGTTAAAGATGAGAGAAATGTCCAAGCATAAAACAGCAACAATTTATGGTCCACTTTCTTTTCATATTATTTTGAAAATATAATTGCTGAATCTTGTGGTTCTCAGGGTGCATCCAGGAAACAAATATCCTAGATTAAATAGTAATAGTAATAAACCACTTTTGTATGTAGGTATGTTTAAATGAAGGCAAATGTACAAACAGGATTCAAATAAATACTTAAACACAGGTCTTTTTTTTTTTTTAACTATTGTGAGAAAAAAGGACTTTTAGCCATAAACATAATAAACCACATATTCAAAAAATTGATGAGCCTGACATTTGTATAGAAATGTACATCAGAACAAATAAACATACCAAAGTGTGCTGAACCACTGCTACTTTTACTTTGCGTGGAGGTACTGCATGTCTGGGTCCCAGGTTGTGCTGTTCCTGTTCGATTTATACTCCTATATAATTTTCTACAGGAGAGTTCATCATTGTCACTGTCATGTAGGGATGGTGTCCGAGGCCTAAAATGCCGCCATCTACATGATTTGATATTGACTAGTATCTGACTGAGGTCTTTTGAGAAAGATTTGTCCGAGGTATTTGTTTCTGAGGTATTGGCAAACTGATTGAGTGGAGAATGTTGCGACGAGGAAAGCATTTCCAAATCCAGATGGCGAAACACATTGTCATAGTCTGAGTGAGCTCTGTCCAGTAAGACCCTATTAAAAATAAGGCAGGAAACATGTACATCAGACAGCTATTCAAAAATTATATAAAAAAGGTTTTTCTTTCTTTCCCCAACTCCAAAAAAATATCTCATACTGAATATTTAAAAGCTACAGATGTGATTATTTCAGTATTTGGTTCTATAGGCTAAAATATCAATATCTGATAAAGATTCTTTCTTTTATGTTATAATGATCTGATTAAAGAAGAGAGTAATCCACTTCACAGAATAATGTAAATATTTCACAACGGCGAGCTTCTAACAGTTCTTCAGGTTGGTCTACCAATGTAAGTTACATACATGAAAGTATTTTTCTTTTCAACCAAAGATTTTCGCTTTCATTACAAAGCACCAGAAGACATTATAAAACGTTGCCAACATACCTGTCCTCTAAGGACAACTTTTTTGTGGTGTGGGGGGAGGGGGAGGTAGGAGAAATCAGTAAAAGGTATGTGATCTTTGGGATATGTTACATCATTTAAATTTCTAATAGAAAAAATATTTGACCCATTATTCTAGAGGATATATTTTTGTTACTAATATAAACTTTATAAATGACTCCATGTTAAATGCTAACATTGATATTAATGCTAGTATAGAATAAAATATAGCTAACACAGAGAATTATCACCACTACTGATGTCAACGTAATCATGTGGGAAAAAGCACTAAATAAAATGTATTTTAATGCCCACATAATTCTAAACTAATGTTTAAGTGGTAAACACTGCAACTAAGATTAAAAACTTAAACAAACATATGTATAAGCCATTAATTTATTATAAATTATACCCTTAGGTTTCTCCCTGAAAGCACTCTGATATTATCGGCTTTGTCTTTTTTTTTTTCACGTTTTACATGAAAGCTTTCTTTTTCTTTGCTTTTACGTGTTCTGCAATTCCTTCCCTGCCCCACCACGCACACACAGCTTCTCACATAAAGGCATCTGGAATATGAATATCAGGTTTAACCAAAGGAAGAAGAGCAATCAGATTGTGACGAACTGGGATGTCAAGATCAGGTCATGCATGGATCCTAGAGGCTTTTCACTGATGAATTAATTCCGTATACTATATATGACATTTCTTAGCCTATTTAATCCTTTTTTTCAATATCTCCCAGAACTTCTGAAACAACTTTTTGTATTTTCTTTAACTTAATATAATTTATGCAATCATGATTTACACTTGCCTTTATCTGGTGTCCTTTGTCAGAATTCTATCCATGAGGATAGGTATCTGAGGTTTTCAAACTTGGGAGAAAAGCAGATCCATTAGGGACCCATTAGTTTTGCATTAAAAGCTATGTTTGTATAAGAACCAGGTAGCGAAACATTTCAGTCTAAAAATTAGTTATGAACAGCAAATGGGAATAAACGAGCTATTTGGGATTATCTCAGTTTAAATTTTAGGTTCAATTACCCTACCATCTAAAATATCACCATGCTTCGGATACAGAAATACCTTACCTTCCACCGCGCCCAACCCGTCTTCGTGCAAATCCAATACACCTTTGGGGTACGGTAAGGGTAGTTAAGCAGTATCTATATCGCACATCCCCTAATCCTCCATCTTTAGGACTAGTCCAAGGCCAGTTGCCAGTTTGGTCTAAGTGAGGCTTTAAAAAAAAAAAA